GTCCTATGACTCCCTCAGCTGATTAAATGGCCTCCTAGCATCACTCACAGCAGACAGGGAGACCCAGCTACTATCTATATTATTAGATAATAATAAGATGAGTCTACATTATGCTTTTTCTAAAGATTTACAACTTATTATGTATGCAGTGTTCTGTCTGCATGTATGCCTGCACACCAGAAGAGGGCATCGGATCTCATTACAGATGGTTGTGAGTCACCATGTGGTTGCTGGGAATTGAACTCAGGACCTCTGGAAGAGCGGCCAGTGCTCCTAACCTCTGAGCCGTCTCTCCAGCCGGAGTCTGCATTATGTTGTATTCTCTTGACACTGAGCAGTTGCAGCGCACAGGACCTTCCTTGTAACCTAGTCCACGGCTGGATTTCTTCCAGAAGTTCTTTTGTGTCTTGCTTCCTTCGTTTTTATACATTTTTATTTATTTTGAAGTTAGGAAGACAACACCACCTTGTCCTGACTCTGCTTTCTGTTTACATAGACAGTTCTAGGCTCTCTACCCCAGCCCCCAACAGTCACGGGTGTGTTAACTAAAATAATTAGTGTTTATGCAAACTTAACATAAACTAAAAAAGCTAAAAAAGGGGTATATGTAAAAAAAATTGTCATGTTATATCTAAAATAATTATTGTTCTGTCAGAAACAAATGTCTCGAAGTTACTCTCACCCCCATCTAACTTGGATATAAATTATGGTCTTTGTGGTTTTACCTTTAAGGGCTCTGCCCTGAGCTTTGGCACCAGGAGCCTTTAAGGCAATAGCCCCTCTTGTCTTCTTGCCTGACAGGTGATAAAGGACTCATACACTTTGTTTTTCTTTTTGGTTTTTCGAGAGAGAATTTCTGTGTGTAGTCTTGGCTGTCCTGGAACTCACTTTGTAGACCAGGCTGGCCTCAAACTCAGAGATCTGCCTGCCTCTGCCTCCCGGCTTATACTTTTTAAAATGATTTGCATTGGTATTTTGTCTCTATGGATGTGTGAAGGTAACTCCTGGAGCTGGAATTAACTCCCCTAGAGCTGCAATTACAGACAATTGTGAGCTGCCACGTGGGTGCTGGGAACTGAACACAGGTCCTCTGGAAGAGCAGCCAGTGCTCTTAACCTCTGAGTCACCTCTCCAGCCCCTAGGACTCAAATGCTTTGAATTGGCTCAATCAGTGTAGTTGTCTGTATCTTTCTCATGTGGATGATTACAGTTTATTTGTGGGGAGTGGTATTTGTGTGGGCAAGTGGCCAAGGACAACCTGAAAGAGTTGATTCTCTCCTTTCATCATGTGGGTTCTAGGAATCAAATTCAGGTTGTTAGCCGGGTGGTGGTGTGGTGGTGTGGTGGTAGCGCACACCTTTAATCCCAGCACTTTAGAGGCAGAGGCAGGTGGATCTCTGCGAGTTCAAGGCCAGCCTGGTCTACAGAGTGAGTTCCAGGACAGCCAGGTCTACACACAGAATTCCTGTCTCAAAAATCCCCTAAACTACCCGCCAAAAAATTCAGGTTGTCAGGCTTAGTGGCACACACCCTCAGCAGCTGACCCGTCTCACCAGTACATTCTTACTGGTGTTTTGAAATAAGTGTGACCTTGTTTAGTGCAGGCAGCCTTGATTTCACTCTGTAGCTAAGGGTGACCTTGAAGGTCTGATCTTTTTGACTCTACTTACCAGGTTCTGGGCTTACACCCACCACCCCTATTTCATGTGGTGCTTGAGATTGACCCCAGCACCCCCTGCATATCTAAGTGAGCCTGTTCCCAGCACCCCTGCATCTGAGTGAGCCCGTTCCCAGCACCCCTGCATCTGAGTGAGCCCGTTCCCAGCACCCCTGCAGCTGAGTGAGCCCGTTCCCAACACTTGACTCATTCTTTTTGTTATTTGCTTTTCTTTTGTTTGTTTTTTGAGACAGGGTTTCTCTAACACCCTCACTGTCCTAGAACTTGTTCTGTAGACCAGGCTGGCCTCAGACTCACAGATTTCTACCTGCCTCTGCCTCCTGAGTGCTGGGATTAAAGGGGTGCACCACCATTACCCAGCAAACCTCAAGTTTTAACATCATAAAATGTGTCACATCTAGGCTATATAACAGTCTCAAACACTAGCTTTTGGGGGGTGGACACAGGCAGGATCTCACGATGGACCCCTGACTGTAGCCCTAACTGTCATGGAACTCAATATGTAGACCAGGCTGACCTCAAACTCAAAAGAAATCTGTCTACCTCTACCTTTAACCTGCCAAATTCTTCAATCAAAGGCATGGGTCATCTGTTTCGAGATATTTGATTGCACTGTGTGACACTCTGAGACTGTTAATAAAGTTAAACCTTGAAGCAAGGGGTGGAGTCCATGACTAGCTGAATAGAATTAGCCATAGAGATTTTGGAGGGCCCAGATAGAGAGGCATAAGGAGGTCCTTGGAGAGATTTGCCGCCTTTTCAACCTGGGAAGTTGGAGAGAGGGGGTCAGCTAGTTGTTCCTACCCTGCTTTCTTGATCTATCAGATTTGTACCCCAATATCTGGATCCTAAGTTTTTATTAATAATAGAACAATTTAGGTAAACACTTCAGTCATCAGAGGCCACTGTAACCAAACTCTCTGTGACACAGGCTTCCTGTCCAACTCCTATTGTGGAAATTACTTTAACTATGTAAAGATGTGCTGCATGTGTTTACGCTGCATTTGTTTAATGATGTAAGGATGTGTGTTTAATCCTGTAAAGATGTGTTTCGCCTTTCTACCTAAGGCACCTGATGGGTCTAATAAAAAGCTGAACAGCCAATAGCTAGGCACAAAAAGGATAGGCAGGGCTGGAAGGCAGAGAGAATAAATAGAAGGAGGAATCTAGGCTGGGGAGGGGAAGAGGGAGAGAAGAGGAAGAGAGAAGAACAAGGGAGGAAGAGAGAGACACGCCCCGGAGCAAGGAGCCAGGCAGCTGCCAGACAGACAACACCAGAAGCCGAGAAAGTAAGAAATATGGAAGGAAAGAAAAGTAAAAAGCCCCAAGGCAAAAGGTAGATAAAGAGAAACAGGTTAAATTAAAATAGTTATCCAGAAACGAGTCTAAACTAGACCTTGCACTTATAACTAATAAGTCTCTGTGTCATGATTTGGGAGCTGGTTGGTGGCCCCCAAAAAAAGTCTGGTACAAACTCCTTCTACAGGGAACTCCAAGTCTCCTCTCCAACCAGTAGACAAGGCAAGAGAGAGTCTTGTTCCTCTTAGGGTGGACTACACCCTTCAGAAGCATGGAAAAAGTTACAGAAGAGTGATCTTCACTTCTTACCCTCCACCCTCAAATTTTGGAGACCACAGCTCTCAGAGGGGGTTCTCACAGGAGAGGAGGGATGTGAGAAGGTACAAGATTTCCATCTGAAAGAGGCCAGTTGGCAGGAAAAGACTAGAAACCCTCCCAACCAGGCCTACAAAAGGTGAATGTGCAGGAAACTCCAAGGACATCAAACTTGAGAGAAGCCCCACCCTATGAAAACAACCTGTAAAGGTTCAGAGCTCACATGGTGTGGGGCTTTCGGAGCTTCATTTCCGGTCCACCTCCACCTCAGGAAGTGCCTTTTTCCTTTCTTTTGTATTTTTTTCTTTTTTGATTCTTTGAGACAGGGTCCTAGTTGACCTAGAAGTCACTGTGTAGACCAGGCTGTCCTCGAACTCATAGAGATTCACCAATTTCTGCCTCTTAAATTCTGGGATTAAAGAGGTGTGACACCACATCCAGCCTTCTTCCTTTTTAAAAAAACTGCTTTCTTCTTTCTTTCTTTCTTTCTTTCTTTCTTCTTTCTTTCTCTCTCTCTCTTTCTCTTTCTTTCTTTCCTTTTTTCTTTCTTTCTCCCTCCCTCCCTCCTCTCTCTCTCTCTCTCTCTCTCTCTCTCTCTCTCTCTCTCTCTCTCTCTCGTACATTTAGGAACACCCAGATAAACAGATGCAGAGAACATGGTTTAAAAAGGTCCTGAGTGGGGCTGGAGAGATGGCTTAGGTTAAGAGCACTGATTGTTGTTCTACCAGAGGCCCAGGGTTCAATTCCCAGCATCCACATGGCAGCTCACAACTGTCTGTAACTCCAGTTCCAGGGGCCTGATACCTTCATTCCAATGCACATAAAATAAAGTTAAATAAACTGTTTAAAAAAAAAAAAGTCCCAAGCACAAGTAGTTCTGTCCCCATGGAGCAGAGCAGGCCACCTTCCTGACCTGTGGGTCATCCTGGAAGCTCTCCAAAGCCTGTAGTTCAGGGATCGTTATAACCATTTCATCATGGATACATGATAAATTATTAACTGGTTTCCAGCTCCTCTTTCCAGGAGATAGGGGTTCAACTGCAGGTTTTAAGTGTCTAGTCATACTTTGATCTTATGACCGGCTACCGTCAGAAGCCCCAAGAGCTGCCAGATTAGAAGGGTCAGACAGGCTGGGCAGTGGTGGCGCACCCCTTTAATCCCAGCACTCAGGAGGCAGAGGTCGGCGAATCTCTGTGAGTTCAAAGCCAGCCTGGTCTATGAAGTGAGTTCTAGGTCTAGGGCTGGAGCTGGCTCAGTGGTTAAGAGTGCTGGCTATTCTTGCAGAGGCCCGGCACCTACATGGTGGCTCACGTCCATCTATAACGTAACTCCGGGGAATCCAATGCCCTCTGAACATCCCAGGCACCAGGCACACACATGGCAGATAGACACACATGCGGGCAAAAATAAATAAATAATAAACATAAGATGGTGTGGGAGAATTGTTAGGGAATGTTAGCATTCAGACCCACCCCTTGGGGACCCACCCAGCATCCTGGCCACGTCATCTTACATTAAGTCCTCTTTAAGAGAGAACCCCTCCCCTTCTCTCTCTCTCTCTTCCTCTCCCACCCTCTCCATGAGGTAGTGTGCATCTTGTATCTTCCTTTCTTCCCAGTTCTCTCTCTTCTTCTCTCAGCTCCCGCTTTCCCTCTCTCCCTTCTCCCCTTAATAAAACTTTCCACATTGTTGTTTGAATCTTAGATGGTTTTTTAATAAAAAAAAAAAACCTGGAGCAAGATATCAGGGTGAAAGCTGAAAGATCAGAGAAGCAGAACAGCCAGACACTAGTTCTTACCTCTACGAAATCCTCAGTCTAAAGAGAGTGAGTTCGCAGGGCGATGGTGGTACACACCTTTAATCCCAGCACTCGGGAGGCAGAGGCAGGCGGATCTCTGTGAGTTCAAGGCCAGCCTGGTCTACAGAGTGAGTTCTAGGAAAGGAGCAAAGCTACACAGAGAAACCCTGTCTCGAAAAAAACAAACAAAACAAAAGAGCGAGTTTCTGTTTCTTCACTCCTTATATACCTTTCTCTGCCCAGACATCACTCTCTGGGATTAAAGGCAGGTGTGCTTCCCAGTACTGGGATAAAAGATGTGTGCCACCGCGGTCTGGCTCTGTTTCCAGTGTGGCCTTGAACTCACAGAGATCCACACGGATCTCTGCCTCCAGAAGGCAGAGACAGGATTAAGGGTGTGTGCCACCACTGCCTGACCTCTATGTCTAATCTAGTGGCTGGCTCTGTCCTCCAATCCCCAGGCAAATTTATTAGGGTTCACAAAATATCACTACACCACACGGATGCCAGGTCTCGTCTGCATAGCGTGTCTCCCTCACCCACCGTGGGGTACCTTGGCTCAAAACCACCAAGCCCGCCTGGTGATGTTTTACAGCATTGGTGCTATGTGACTGGACAGAGGCCCTCCCGGTGGTTTCTCCTGCCTGCAGCAGTCTGCGATATGCTAGGACCGGAACCTTCAGCACCCATTTCATCCGTAAGCCCCGCTTCTGGCCATTTCCCACGACTGAGGATTTGTCTTGCCTCGACCATCGTTTCTCACCTTTCCTTTCCATTCAGAAGCCCCAATACTGGGTGACCACGTGTCCCACCTGTCCCTTGGGCTTCGCCCTGGCCCCCACTCTCGGTTTGAAGAATCATTGAGTGGTTTGCGCCGTTTGAATCCTCAATCTCTGGCATGCCAGAGATCAAAAGCCACTGGATCTCATTTCTCTCTGCCTCAGCGGTGGGAAATAAGCCTCTGCCAGCCATCTACTACATCCGAGGTTTCTTGGGCTATGTATGTACGTCCGTCTTGACTGAGGTCAAAGACAGACAAGTCTTATGGCACTGTTGCCATATTTGATGAGGGCGATCGTGCGGTCAGACTCCATCATGACTGAGGTCAAAGACAGGTCATTTTGCTTCATCGGCATCTTTGATGAGGTTGGGGCCTGTCTCTCCTAAGCCCCCACTGGAACGCGGTCTTTCACTCTGCTCCCAAACCTTTTGCTCTAACTGTTGGGGGTGGCGGCTACTTCGGCTTGCCTGCCCGGCTGGTTCTGATTCCGATCGGAAAGTCACTTCCTGTCCGTGGTCCAAGCATGGGCAGGGGCAGCACGTCCTCGTGTGGGCAGGGGCCCAGAGACCTTTGCGTCCCTCCCAGGCTCTCAGGCGTCTGTGGCGCCGACGCTGGAAAGGTGTTTTCCTGCTCACAGAGAGCCAGGTTTCAGTTCCCTGTGGGCAGGGCAGCAAGCTGCTGAGCCTCCCGCGGGCCCCAGAAGACCCGCCTTCCCAGCTCTGCCGCTAGAGCCTCCCGCCTCCCATGCCAGTGAGCAGGGCTTCCCCCATGCCGGGGAGAGGACAATAAAATGCTTGGGAGGTTATGAAAAAGTTTTGCTTCCCTTGTTGGAAAGTTAGCTTTTTCTAAAAAACAAACAAACAAACAAGTTCTGAACCTTGAGCTTTGCAGCTGAAGGTTACGAATATATGCCGGGCTCGAGTTCCAAAGAGAGTCCAGTTGCAGTGGTGTTCCTCAACAGGTTTGCCAGGTGGTGGTCACCAGAAGCACCAGCCACCGTGAACTGGAGCAGGCTAAGATCTAGAAGGCAGGCTATACATATGCTGCCCAGGGCGGGGCCAAAGAAATGATCCAAGCCTCTAAGTAAAAGAACCGAAAAGGACTGCGAATGGATCCCAGTGGTCTTTGGATTGTTTGCATTATTGGAGCTTGCTTTTGCCTTATCTGTAAAATATGGTTATGCCATATTTTCTTCCTCTTAAAATGTGGGTATTTTATTTTTTTGATATTACAGGAAGACATTTGAGAGATTTTCAACCTTTTTTAAAGAACAGTCTTTAAAATATTTAAATGTATAAGGGTATGGCCAACTTGCCAGCTCATTTTTTATTTATTTATTTATTTATTTATTTATTGTGTATAGTGTTCTGTTTGCATGTCTGCCTGCAGGCCAGAAGAGGGCGCCAGATCTCATTACAGATGGTTGTGAGCCACCATGTGGTTGCTGGGAATTGAACTCAGGACCTTTGGAAGAATAGTCAGTGTTCTTAACCTCTGAGCCATCTCTCCAGCCTGCCAGCTCATTTTATAGATAAAAATCAAGGCTTACTTTTCTAAAGCTACTAGTTCTCTTGATAAGAAAATGTTGTAAGATATAAAAGTATACAAATTCTAAGGGCCTGAAAATGTTTTAAGATATACAAAGATTTGAGGATATAAAAGTCTATGTAAGCTTTGAGGGTCTCAGAAAATGATTCAAGATATAAATACCAGCTACAAAGATATAGATAGATGATTCAAACGCTTCAGATTACTTTCCTTTTCTATAATATTGTTATATTAAGATTTCAAAAGTTCTGCTTTTAATATTAATAAAACTCTAATACTGTTTGGGTCACAAGCTCAAGATTTTAGGTTTTCTTTGGTTGTCTTCCAAATATAAACTTAATGGTATGAGCCTACTCCTGCTGTTTTACAGATATCCATTACCTGCTTTTTCTATGATTTGGATTTCAATGCTGATTGGTAATACTAATATATCTAAAATTTTTATGTCCTTTAATGAAATAAGAATTCATATAAGCTTCAGAGGATCAAAAGAAGTCATAAAACTTGGATCCACTTCACAGAGGTCAAAAGGACTCTGGATAAGTACAGCAGTACAGCTGGAGTTTTCCACATCTGTCTGTTCCTGAGAATGGTATTTTTCTCTCTGGAACTCCCCCCCCCCCCCCGCTTCCCAATGGGCCTAAAAGTTCCAAATAAATTCATAAATTTTAACTTCTGTTTCTAGTTTGAACTTGTCTCAACAGGCTTCCATTTGACTGGCAGACACACCCAAGCATCAGTTGCTGACTGCAACCTACTCCAAATGACCATGAGCTCTGGACTTGCTAAAGGCTGATGTGGACCAGCCTGGCCAATGTGATTGCTCCTTGTCTCCACAGCTGGGTCAGATAACCATATGCTTCTGATAAATGCCCATTGCCTAAATCCCCTCCTCACCTCTGACTAGCCTTTCATCCTTGTTGGACTCTGACCATCTACGCGCCGTTTCAGCTGGAAGCAGCTATAGAAGAGAGTACATCATCCTTGCCCCCAAACAGTGAACAGTGAAATAGTGGATGTTCTGGGCCTAATCCTCCTAAGCAGTTTCCATGCACTGTGCGCCTGTCCCCAGTTTGGACTCTAACCAACTGTGGGACCTCCAACAAGACACACGAAGTTGAGGCTACTGGTATATTGCAGGTATCCTAGTCATCCTTTTTTTTTTTTTGGTTAAGTAATTTTTAAGTGTGTGTGTGTGTATCTGTCTATCTCTGTGTGTCTGTATGTGTGTGTCTATGTGTGGGTATGCACATGACTGCAGGTGCCCCCCAAGGTCAAAGGTGTCAGATTCCCTGGAGTTGGAGTTATAGGAACTTTTGAGCCTTGGTGCTGGGCCTCAGACCCTACAGAAACAGTACATGCTCCTAACTGTTGAGCCATCTCTCCAGACAAACCCCACCCTGCACCTGTTGCTGGAGGGCTTCTCTTCAGGTTCCACCAAGCCCCGTAGTCCCACAATCCACGTATAAAATAATCAGCCGGGCAGTGGTGGCACACGCCTTTAATCCCAGCACTCGGGAGGCAGATGCAGGCGGATCTCTGTGAGTTCGAGGCCAGGCTGGGCTACCAAGTGAGCTCCAGGAAAGGCGCAAAGCTACGCAGAGAAACCCTGTT